AGAGAGAGAGAGAGAGAGAGAGATGGTGAGAAAGAAAGACCGAGAGCAAGAGAGAGAGAGAAAGAGAGAGGGGATAGAGATAACTGTCACATCCTTACGACATTCTCTGACATGACATCTTCCTTGTTGTAAACACAGTGGCCACTAGGCTGAAGCTCCAGGTCATCCGGGGTAAACAATCGGAGGGCGGGTGGCACCAGACGGAACAGCCTGCGGGGCCAGTCGCCATAGCAGAACAAGAACTGTGTGGCTATACACGCGTACGGGAACATACCTGAGAATAAAAGACAGGACATAACATAACATGAGATGACATGACATGACATGACATATAACATAACATATAACATAACATAACATAACATAACATAACATAACATAACATAACATAACACAACATAACACAACATAACATAATATGGCAGAATATAATATTATATAACATAATATTACATAACGTAACATAACAAAACAACACAACACAACAATACACATAACATAACGTCACATAACATAACACAATATAACACAACATGGCATGATAAAACCTAACATAATAACGGATTTTGGGGAGTAAAAAACTCCATCAAACTAATACGTTTCTATTTAAGATATAGGTATGACAAAGATTAAATAGCCTACTATTCACGCTATACTACATTCATCTTAAAAGCGGAGGTCTATCAGCAGAAAACTGTTCACAATTTAAACGCATTCTACCCTCTATAGAACTCATGACAAGAAATTTCAGAAAAACGTTTTTGACATTCTATGCTAATGTTAAAAACAATAATATAAATGAAACATTTGAAGTTAGTATTCTAATTTAATTGTATTTTGACTTCCACCCCCCCCCCCCCCCACATACACCAAAAAAAAAAAAAGAAAAAAGAACAACAGAAACTAAACTTTCGTACAAATTCGCACCAGCAGACAAGAGTAACAACACCTCATGGGGTTCAAATATGAACCAAGGGGTACCAGAAGTTTAAGGATAGCAAAAATTGGCACCCTCCCCAAACCTCACTCTTTTTTTTTCAGATTTGAGTTAAAAATGTAAGGGATGGCCATGAGTGACTGAATGTGTGTGTTACGTCCTTAATTATTGTTGCAACTGAGATCATAATTAGGACTCCCGTTGTTTTGATTCTGCCTATCACGGCGTCAAGCTTAGCTACGTACCTTAATAATATGGCTACTCAGCAGACATAAATCATTTATTTAATTAATTAATCATGGAGATTGCGATACAGTAATGTTTCACCCTTAAAAACTGAACTCATGTTTTCTGTGTACACACGGCACAGATCCTATAACCATGACACATTAGGTGCCGGTCTGTGTTGGTGAATGTAAAACAGTGTTGATCCACAGCAAACATTTTGTTGACTGCACGTAAAAGAGTCGGAAATACTGATAGCCATATGTCCCACACGTAGGCACTAAATACATATAATTTGAGAATACTCTGCATAAATTTAATAACATTTAAAATGATACTTTAGCAAAAGCTGCCACCACAGACCTCTACATTTCACTAAACAAACAAAAAACACACAACAAAACACGAATTCACTACACTGTCAGACCTAGCTCAGCCCAACCAAAGCAAAGGCGAAAATCGACGTAAAATGCAGTTACTAATTTTACTTCTCTAATATACCAACGAATGGAACATTAATTACCTAAATACACTTCATATCTGTTATCTTTAGGCAAATATTCTCAATTAAGAAACTTCTATTATCGTACGTGAATACCGGCACCTACTAATAATCCCAGAACAAAGTTTCTCTGACGAGGACATCAGCACAAAAAAGAAAAACAACAACCAAACAACAAACTATTAAAAGGGGAAAATGACACACCTAAAAAGGAATAAATTAAAAACCCATAAAAAAGACCTATTGAAAAGGGAAGCATGCAAGGCATAACCACAGCCACACAGTACGCTCTACAAAAGTCAGTCAGTACTCTATGAGTGAGGGTAACAAAAGGAAAAGGCGAACCACACCAAATCAAAGCAAGACAAGTGAAACGTTAGCTTCCGATAACTTCTTTTTAACTCTATTCAGTTCATTGTCCTATCAACAGCTACGAATAATTTGCGCAAAGCCTTATTAGAGCCCTAATTAGATTGCACGCATTTATTAGGTAGGGCCTCAAATATAGGAGAAGGATGGAAAACCATATCCGCCAATGTGTGTTCTACACGACAGGGGACTAGGCGACTATTTTAATGGGTTTTTTTTTACCCCACCATCAACACAATTTACATCGTTTAGGGGGTGGGCTTCCAATCCTGACTGTCAGTGCCAATCTGGATTGAGAGGGATACAACATCCCAAAAGACGGGCCGATATATTTGATAGTAATCTTCTCTTCATTCGGGAATCGGTTTCAGGTCTCTTGCGTGTGATTGACAGCTAAGCACCTACCACCGCTACACCACAGGCACATGTCATTAGGTTATGGTGATGATTAGATTGCAATGTGCAAAACCCCCCCCCCAAAAAAAAACAACAACAACAACAACACAACCCCCCCAAACCCCCCCCCAACCAACAAACAAACATAACAAAACAACAGATCTATTATTTCAGTTTGGCTGCTTCTTGGTCTGCTCAATCTCTTACCCGCTCCCCCTCCCCCTCCCCTCCCAACAAATACAATTGAGAAACCACCTTCCCGTCCCAGAAAAAGCGAAGCAGCAAAGCAAGGTCGTTTTCGTCACACTGATTTCGTTATTGAACCAAGTTATGAAAACATATAGAAAATTCAAAAGAACGCTATGGTGCCTTGGCACAAAAGGAAAGCTGGCCTAACAAACACAAATATGATAGATACAGCTGTTACGAAACAAATGTAAAACCAAAAACCAACCTACATTTTTAAAGGAAAAGTAAAGCAGACAGTCAAAGACAACAGTAGATAAACGAACGCAGTCTTTATATAGAATTCATGTTATATATAGTATTTACAAGCTTATCATGAAGCAAAAAACTCAATTCGAACAATACAGTGAGCGCTTTTGGTATATTACGCAGCTTGTAAAAGCAGGTATTATGCTGAATCCGGGGTAACATTTAAACAGCGGTAAAATAATCATAATGATCACAGTGAGTTGGAAAGTACTGCTCCCGGCGGCCAGACGTGCATGATGTTAACAGTAACATAGAATTAAATGTGAATGAAAAGGCATTCAGTGTTAGCAATAGCAAAGAACGAGAGATTTACATAAACAGAGCTAAAATTATTATCTTTTCAATTTTGCTTCTCTTTTGTTTGAGACTTATAAATTGAAGTTTGTTGTAAAAAGAATCACATCAGAACAGGAAAAGCAAAAAAAAAATGTATGAAAGAAAAACAAATACAAAGAACGACCATTGAGGAGTGCCAGAACCCACCAATGCTGAAGATCTGCGAGTTCATGAGGTGGAAGGAGGAAGAGACGAGGAGGCCGAGGGGCCGGGTTTTGTCGAAGAACAAGAGGAAGCCGAGGAAAAGGTCGATGGTGAGTCCACCTAGGTGAACCACGTACATGTCGATCTGATCGTCCGTCAGGAGAAGCCTGTGGAAAAAACGGAAGTGGGAGGGAGAGGGAGAGGGAGAAGGAGAGGGAGAG